GCTCTCTCTCTTTCTTTTTCTCTTTCTGCCTCTGTCTCTCTATTTCTCACTCTCTCTTTTTATCTCTTTCTCTGTCTATCTTTCTGTTTCTCTTTCTTTTTGTCTCACTGCCTCTCTGTTTATCTCTATCTTTCTTTCTTTCTGTCTCTCTCTCTCTCTCTTTTTATGTCTGTCTGCCTCTTTCTCCATCTCGTTCTTTCTTTTTCACTTTTATATTGCTCTCTCTCTTTTCTCTTTGCTCTGTCCTCTATTTCTCACTCTCTCTTTTTATCTCTTTCTCTGTCTATCTTTCTGTTTCTCTTTCTTTTTGTCTCACTGCCTCTCTGTTTATCTCTATCTTTCTTTCTTTCTGTCTCTCTCTCTCTCTCTTTTTATGTCTCCTTCTGTGTCTCTCTCTCTCTACCTTTCACTCTATCTCTATCTCTCTCTCCAGAGGCCGTGGTTTGGCTGGTTGATTTACTAGTGGTCTCAGCCTGTTCTCTTAAAGAGAGGGATGGTTTCTGAATGGGGGTCTCAGGTCCCTCTGTCTGTGCTGAATTTAGTGCGTGGAGTGTGTCTCGGTGGTGTTATGGACGAGGGGGCGGGACATACACCCCCTCATGTGGCTCTGAATACGAGGGAAGAGTCAGTCAGCAGTAAATAATGCAGACTATTAGATGCTTTATGGGCCTAATGAACGCTTTACGGAGCTCTCGCTTTCGCTAAATGGCCGAGTTATATGCAGGAGGGATGGCAGGGAGGAGAGAGAGGAGACACACTGCCCTGTCTGGGTCTATGAACAGCACAAACACTGACACTGAGCAGTTTTTTTACGAGAGCCATGTCACTTTACAAGACCTTTTAACAAAGAACTATCAGCAGAAAAGAAACACTCACTAATCCTACTGTACACACACAGCACCTGCCAAAAGTTCAGACCCCTACTCAAAGAAGGGCTTTCCTTATTTCTACAATTTTAAACACATTACAGTTACAGTGAAAACATCAAAACTATGAAATAACATGAAAAATTATTTCAATTTTTAAATTCCCTTCACCTTGATGCAGCTTTACACACTCTTTTTCTCTCAAGCGGGAGACACTTGGGACCCTTTACACAAAATTGGTTTGGAAGGTCAAACATAAAAGATCAACTACACTATTTCTGTTTGTCTTGGATGTAAATTTTATAAGCATTCAGATCAAAATGTCTTTAAAAAGTCCATTTCAAAACCATACTTTTCTCCTTTTTAGAAATAAAGAGTTGTTGATGTACTAGATCAGGGGTGCACAACTCCAGGACCGGAATTATGCACCCCTGTACTAGATGAACACTATCAAAGTGTAAAATCTACCATTCCTTCCACATAATGTAATATGTAAACCAAACAGCCAATTCTGAATTACTGTTTTTGTGATGTCACATAAGTTTCCTGCCGGAGATGTGAGAAAAGAGGCTATAGCTGAGATAAAGCTTAAAGCAGAGCGAAGTAAGCCTGGGTTTTTTGTTTATTTGATAATTTTTAGCCCATACAAGGACATTGTGTGGAACTGCGGAACTGAGCCAGGCTTAATTTTGCTGATACAGTCCATTCAAATATGCTAGGATCAGCCTTTGGATCGGATCCACAGTTCTCTCATGAGCGCTGTGCAGTGTAGTCTGCTGAAGACGTCCTCCAGTGCTAATGATACTGACATTACTGATACTGCAGCATTAGCGCTGTGTTCTGCCTACTTCAGACGCAACATCTTCAAAGATAAACAAAGTCACCTTGGCATCTAATCAGCAGTGGAAAAAGCTTCTCTCATTTTATCAAAACAGACATCAATGGAACAAATACATACATATTAAAAAACTATATGAATGAGAATGAGACTACAGTTGTGGACTCACAGCAATAGCAAGCAAGCTAATACAAATGGTTACAAGCGTCAAACAAGGGAAATGTGTTAATGGCATCAAACGCTGTGCCATCAATAGTTTACTGCACTACTTTGTAGCTGCTCTGTGTCAGATGAAGACGTACGACTTGAAAGAGTTAAAAAGCCTGGCTGTTGAGATTCTTTCTTAACGCACTCATCAGTCAACAAGTATCTGTGCTTCTGCTTTACACAGCCAATGGAGTGAGGAGAGGCGACAGAGAGAGAAAGAGAGCGAAAGAGTGGAGCAAGAGCTCTAGACTGTGAAGGAGAAAGAGGGAGAACAAGAGCAGACAGAGTGGTTTGAAGAGGAAAGTAAAAGCGAGCGGGTGAATGAACAGAAAAGGGTCAAAACAGAGAAACAAATGAGCAAGTGAAAGACAGAAGAGGACAGACAGCCAGGCTTCCCTTTGTTTCTCTAGAACCATCCAAAAGAAAAAAAGAACAGCCAGTCAAAACTCTCACTGGCCTCTTTTCCCCCAGTTACATAAACTCTAATCTTTTTAATCTCGTCTCATTTGTCCCGAGTTCTGCCTGCTTTGCACACAGACACACACACACACACACACACACACACACACACACACACACACACACACACACGTTTTTATATAATGCAAGGATGCAAAGTCATATATATTATATATGCCACATATGTATTATGTTTGTGTAATTATCTATATATAATATTATGTGCCATGTGCATCTTATAAATCATTGGTGTTGAAACAAAATCTTATATCTCTATTTTTGTTGTTTTTCATTTTTTGGCATAATTTAAAAATCACGCTTTAGATTGGGACAAAATTATATAATTGGGACCTCATATCTCCAAAATGGTAACTTTACAGGAGAAGGAAAAACCTACTGTATTTTTAATGTAAGTCAATATAACCAGACTTTTTTCCAATTCATTTTGGATCATTTCTTTTGGTCCATTCATCATGAAATTTACACACAATCTAAACGGCAACAGGCATTTTCAAATTATGTCAAAAACTAAAAAATGACAAAAATGGAGAAACAAGGTTTTGTTTTCCGACAGCAGCAATATGAAAGTATTCATGTGTAATAATAAAATATTGCAAGTTTTAATACCTATAAGTCATAATAAGTTCCAAAATAATTATATTTACAGCTACATTTATGTTCCACTCTGATTATATTTGTAATTACCTATATATAATAATAATAATATGTGGCATATGTATTATAAACATTACTCCTTACACAGTTACATGGCATACTTTTTTTTTTTTTATTCGAATTTTACAGTGTGTTTTGGCTTAAAACTGTACTGGCTTATGATCAAATATGATTATTTGGAATGTGATGATTTGGCTACCAGACACTTTCATATTCTGCAGTGAAATCACTTCACTATACACTCTGAACTGATACATATTGTTTTTTGTGGACTACTTATGTGAAATCCAGTTAAAACCAGAAAACAGCTGGTAAAGCAGAACCTCATGATAGTGATAGTTTCATTTTCAACTGATCAGGACTGAAAAACATGCAGTTGCTTGTGGTAAGAGACAAAAAACAGACCCAAACTATAACAGCCAATCACTCACTTTTTACATGCTAGTGTTTAGACAAGACGGGCATCATACACAGTGAAAACACTGGTTTTAATATTCCACCGTTAAATAGTTCCACACTGCAGGCATTTAGATCTCTTTGTAAACGTATATAAATGCATCCCAGTGCTGCAGGGTGTGGATAATGCCTGTTTACGTCAGTTCAAGGTCAATGGTCTAAGTAAAACGCAAAAAAAAACATGAATCAAAGGATCAGAACAGAATTGAATATAGTATTGCTGATAGCAGATCCGTTACAATATGCTAGGATCAGCTCCGATATCCATAATACGAAGAACTTCTTTATCCCTGACCTTAACATCAGTAAGCAAAAAGAATCGGTTTCACTCCTTCAGTTATAAACAATGAAACAAGCAGCTTTTATAAAGAGCACTTTGCAAAGTCAGAACCATTGTGTTCTGTTTACTTGTTTTCCTCTCTCACATAAACACAAGCACAGTCATCCCCACCTCTCATTCTGCTCTCTATTCACCTCCTACCTACCCAACGTATTTATTCTCATCCTCTGCCAGAATGTAGGACATATGTTTGTTCAGTACATGCTGAACATTTTGAAAAATGCAGCAGGAACAGAGTGAAGCAGGGTGGGAATGAAAGAGGAGAGGCTTTAATAACCGCTACCACTAATCAGTCAAAACAGAGAAATATCTGCTGAATGTAATCACTTAGAAATGTTATCAGATACTGTGTGGATAAGAGGAGACACAGTGACTTGCGCAAGAGCTCAGAGTTTCTCAAGCCTGTTATAGCAGGAGCTGCGCATACGTCAATAGGGGTGATACAGTCTCTCTGCTCTGATTCACTCCCCTACACATATTTTGGGCATGTATAATACTTATTACTCTCATTTTCCTATAGATTCAGTTCAAACTATTATTTACATTTGATTTACATTGCTATATTATTACTACGTAATACAACATAAATGTAAAATGTATAACTATTTCTATGTAATTACCACATAATACCAGATCGTTAGGCAAATAATTGAACCCTTAGGAATCTAGAGTTATTACAGCTGCATTGCTATACTATTTAAATGTAATTACACTGTAATTATTGAGTAATTACACTGTAATTATTCCTTATTTATAAAGTGATATAGTCAGGCAATGAATTACATAGCTATTATCCATCTGAATTGACAGGTTTGAGTCTGCACTTCCACTTTTGTCTTTTTCAAAGTCAATTTAAAAATTATTAACATGTGGCAGAATGTAGAATGAAGTATGTTTTTGTCTTCCCATAAAATTAGACTGTACAATCAAAAATAACTGTTTGTCAAACTGACATAATATTAAAGTATATTCCCTTCTGTTTACTAAGCTGAGAGTTTGGAATCTGCAATTTCCACACAATTTCTACACTTGATTTTATTACCTACAAATGAAAAATGACCAAACAAAAGATAAGAAGCATTTTAAGATGTATATGCAGACGAGGGGGCTGTGTACAGATGGCTGATCTTAGCTTTATGTGTTGTGTCAGTGTGTGTACCTGTTTTATGCGTCTGTGTGTCGTTCATGAGGTACTGTCCACTCCTGTAAACGTCCAGCGCCTTCTCGAGGTGAGCTAGGGTCTCGTCTGTGCCCCACAGCAGCTCCCCTAAAACACACATTCACATCACAGACTGTCAGTACATCACACTCACACACTGATCTCAGACAGTTCACGGTCAACATTCAGTCTGCTAACGCTGACCCACTCGGTTTACTGCAAATGAAACGCAGCGTAATTGTGCATGCCAAAGCCCTGCTGAATTACGTTAGAGCAAGGACTTTTTACGAGGAAAGAGAGAGATATCATCAGCGCTAAAGCCCACCCACGTAACCCGTGGCTTCATGGCCTGTTTTGCCCAAGATGAGCAGATTTTAAACTCTACATGACATACCATCATCCTGATGAACAAGCTGATACAGAGCACACACAAAGCAGCCTGATCAGGGAGAGATTCGAGGGGGAGGGTGGTGAAGAGGTAAAAAAAGAAGGGAAACAGAGGACACAGGAAAGGAGACAGAGTGCTAGCAAGGACATAAAAAAAAGATTTGTTGGAGTTCGACTGCCAAATACCTGCATGAACTCATAAACTTTGTTTCTGGACGTTGTGCACATGCCTTACAAAAGCGGTTCCCAATCTAGCTCACATTTTAAGTGTTTTCCTTGTGGATCACATCAAAACATCAATATATGCAGGACTGATTAACTCCAGATACAGCCTGAAATATGTGTCTAATGTTGGGTTTGATGTCCATGAGGCCTACACTCATGAGTAAACTGATGCGCATGAAATTCAACAGCAAATCGATTCAGGGAAGTACAGCTTATCGCAGCCAAAAGAACATTACTTAATTTGCCTGGCAAAAAAAAAAAATGTAGCACCTCACAGAGAACAGCATGTCATGGAAAGTTTATCCAGACTAAAAAACTTTGGAATGTTGTTTAAAAGCACTGCTTTCTGAAAAAAAAATGTTAGCGCGGGATTTAAACTTAATTTTGGATGCTGATTATTTGATTATATCATATTATTTGATATTATTTTTAAATCCATGACTTAATGATGGCTAATATTGTTACTATGCTGTAATTTAACTGGCACTATTATTAGAAGTATCAGGTTTTATTCAGCATTTTGAGTGACGGGTGATGATGGATCAGTTCGGGGTCAAAATTTTCTTGAGGATTTTCTTTCTCAGGTCAGGTTCGGGTTCAAAACTTCAAGCCATGTTCGGCTCAGACCGAGGGTTCTTGGGATGCATTCAGGTGTCCAACCAAAATTTCAGGCCCAATTAAATCTCAGAACCCAGGACCATAATTCTGCTTTACTGCTATACTGAATAACGCTCTGTATGCATTTAACACCACTGGTACTCAGCCAGATCTATTCCTGACCTTCTGGCAGTCTTCGGGTTACCAAACAGATCTGTCATCTGTCTAATCTGAGTGTCTTTATTTAATCTCACTTGCAAACTTGTATTATTTTTATCATAATTTGACTATCCGGTCAACCAGAGAATATCTGTGTCCCCTTTGTGAGCTTTGTTTCCTTTGACTGTTTATTCTTCATGCTCTTAGATAGTCTTTCCTGCCACTGGATCAGGGTTTTGGTGTCCATCCTACACATGTGCTGTGTGTGAGAGAGCACACTGACCTGTGGAGTTGACGATCTTGTCGAGGAGAGGCCTGAGGGCAGTGGGGGCACTGTGAGGGAGCAGGTAGGTAAAGAAGAACCTGCATACAAGAATAAAAGGTCACCTAAAATAAGCCTCAGGGCACTTAACAAACCACAATGCGTATTTACGTTCCCTTGAGACCATCACTAGAGTAATTAGCAGCTCAGACATCACGGCATATTGGTACAAATATGGGAAAGTATTCATGCAGCAAAGAGCCGTTTACCCTAAATGTAGTTTATTTTAAATGGCACCAAAAAATACCTAAAATAAACATGTCTTAGCTAAGACTTGTCTGATGTCCAAGATTTCTGTTATCTATAAAGATGAACAAAAGCAAGGACTGCTGCTGTTTTTAGCTACACAACAGGGCTGCTCAGTTATGGCAAAAACCATGATAACGATTATTCTGTTGATATTGAAATCATGATTATTTAACAAGATTAATCATTGACTTTAAAAACATTATGCATTTACTGATGTTTTTTTAAAAAAACTTGTCTTTTTAACAGTGGATTCTATTGAGTTTTCACTAAAATTCAACTGAAAAACAAATAAAAAGTATAAAAAAGATAAATAAATAAAATAAATGTTATAAATAAATAATAGACAAATGCTAAATCAAAATAAATCATAATCAAGATCATAATAAATAAGATTAACTCTGTTGTAGTGTAGTTCCAAAACCTACTGAAAACTACTAAACACATATTAATATTATAGATAAAAATAAATTAGACCAAAATAAAGATGAGAGCTTTTAGGGAGGGGTGAAAGGAAAGGGGTGCACTGGATTATAACACAAAACAAAATGAGAGCATTATTGCAAAATGGAAGGCGGCACAAAAATCGTTTAATCTCGATTATCTTGTTTTTGTATTTCTTGGAAGCCAAAATTATCACTGAAAATAAAATTCGATTACTCGCCCAGCCCTACAATAGCCCTAATATACTGTTTGTCCATTTTTATAGAAAATTTGTGTCAGAAACACAAATGCAAGCCTATTTGAGGCAATCTGTAATGATGTATGCTAACAGTTGTCTATAAGCTTCCTTTGTTGTCTTCATTAGTAAATCAGACTATTCCTTTAGCTTTAGTTATGATCTGCAGTCCATGTTCCATGCTCACCTGTAGGCGTTGTACAGGTTCCTCTTCTCGTTGATGCCCTGGCAGCGCCCACTGCTGCACTGGAGGGTGAAGTTGCGGGCAGGGAACTCCAGCAGGCAGTCTGCAGAGGAGGAGCAGGGCGTCTCCTCCACACTGGCGTCATCCAGGTCCGTCACCTTGAGCTCTCCGTCCACCAGCACAAACTGCCTAGGCCTGAAGTCCAACAAGGTGAGAGAGCCCAGCGGAGAATGGGCCAGATAGTGCAGCAGCCGCATCAGACTCAGACAGATCTGCAGGACGGAAACAGAGCAAAAAGACTGTTTGAGAAGGTGACTCTGGATTAGAGTGCCAGCAAGAACGTGAGTCTGAATTAGCATGCTAATCCTGACTCACACTCTCAGACGTTACTCTGTGCATTGATTTGTGCTGGACGCAGCTTCAGGACACAGTAAATCCCAGAAGTTTTTGGTTAGTGACTAATCCCAAAGGCCCAAGCCACTCAGTGTGCATGTGCATGATTGTGGGCGTCTGGGAGCAACTGCCTCAGCACTACAATCACCACTTAATCTCTCAAAGCACCACTTCAGTGTGTGTGCGTCTATGTGTGAGTGCCTTGGGAATTAGTGCTCTTATTGTGCATGAGGGTGTTAGGGGTCAGTCTGGGGATAGCAGAAGGCCGCTGGTGTTGAAGAAGAGACCTGGCACGCAGGCCACAGCCAAATCCCTACTGCCAGCGGAGCACTGAAAAGCAGGAGGAACAAAAGCAGTGGGAAGGAGAGGGAGGAGGGAACACCGCGCCTGCCTTTCACACCACACAAAAGCTGTTTTTAATGTACTCAGGATTAGGAGCCACTGGGAAAGGTCAGAATCTGCCCGGTGGACTGTGTGTGCCGTGTGTGTGTGTGTGTGTGTGTCTGTGTAGTTTTATTTTATTCAAGCAATGTTTTTTTTTGCCATCATGCACTGGTTTGGTACAAGTGGGAAAAAGCCAACCAAAACCAGAAACAGACACATTGAACAGGATAGTTTTCATCACATTTTAATATTCTGAAATTCTTGAAAAGCACACAGTTCTCCAATTAAATTCCTGGTGACAAAAACAGATCTTTCCCAGTCCTCTATTGTTGCTGACGATAGAAAAAAAACAGTAGGAGAAGAAATAATGTTGTAATGCAGTGCCTGGTGATGGTTAACACAGTAACAGTAAAAGAGTAAAAGCTAGTTTACCACATGCTTCAAAACTCGACACTCATTTATTGATTTATGTCATGCAAACCAAAGGAAGACACAAGTATTCCCACATAAGAGCATAACTGAACTTTTAAAGATGTTGGGTGATGTGATTTTCTACATTAATAACATATTTATTGTATTGAACAGAGATTATTGTACAAATGTAGCTGTTTAGCGACGTTGGCTGAACGTGCTCAGTGCAGCAGGCAGATATTATGCCTAAAAAAAGACCTACAGTCACTCTGTGGACCACAGCGTCAGGTTTTAGACATCATACAATCAGATGAAACAGGCTGTTTAAAATAAAAAGGCATCAGAGAAGAAGGCAGGCTGAACTAAGTGGCCACAGATGGTAAAGTCTGTGTGACATTCACAATTCCAGTATTTATTACTAGATTAATTACAGTTATATGGCCAAATTAAAGATGACAACATACTACAATCACAACTTATACTGAACCGCTCTGTCTCCAACACTAAGCTTCAACTCACACACTACCACTGTTCTTGCTTCTGTGTCTGCTCAGTTCCTTCTGCGTTAGGGTCTCAAAATTCCTGGAAAAAAGTGTTGCTGTTATTTTTATTATCATTATTATTGTTGTTGTTGTTGTTAATAATAACAATACTAACCCACCCTGTGTTGTATTTTTAATACAGTTAACTGAATAAGAGGCCTCAGGCCTGATGTAATGACATTTTGTTCCACCTAAACTCTGAAAAATAAAATACAAGGCTAAAACATTTTTAGGAGCCATGACACAGCAGGACCACCACTGGTTCCCTAAAGTAAACACATTCACATGCAATGAGTAGATGTACATGTGTGTGTCCAGTGTAACTGTCCAGGTACGGAAACCAGTGCTCACAAATCCACATCTTCACCTGTCTGGTTTAATTCGGTGAGGCCGTGCGTGCTCGTGAATCTCTGGCTGGTGTTTGGAGGACATGGCTGAGCAGGCCTAGCTATGAAAGCCTTCGTCAGCGCGCAGAGGAAATGGCTCTGGACCTAAATGAGCCGTTTGGTAGTCAGCAGTTTCGTCTGCCTCCCCAGAGTCTATTAGTGCCTCATATGCAATTCAAATCTTGCTAAAGCGTTCGCTGTGGCGGTTTTCTCGTCCGCCTTGGCGGTTCCTCTTTTGTTCAACGCGCACACGGCTGGACAGAGCATTCCAGACGAGAAGGAAGGGAAAATGTACAGGATATATAAACGAGGCTGGTTTCGAGGCTTTAAGTGGAAACTGAATAATCAGGAATTTGGGGAATTTAAAGTCACAGTCAAGTATATTTATGTAAATAAATACAACACCTTTAAGATGCTACTTAAAACTAGCATATCATATTGTGAGCTTATAATAACTAAGTGCTGTTTGTTGTGCCACTGTATTCCATTCAGAGCTAATTTTGTCATGTGATTATGTTCCAATCTGTCCCTGTTTGTATGAATATATTGCTGCTGTCGGAACAAAACCTCGTTTTTTCATTTCTGTTGTTTTTCAGTTTTTGACATAATTTGAAAATGCCTGTTGCCCTTTACATTGTGTGTAAATTTCACAATCATTGGACCAAAAGAAACGGCCCAAAATTACTTGGACAAAAAGTCTGGTTCCATTGACTTACATTAAAAGTAAAGCAGGTTTTGCAGTGATAAGCAATAAGTTATCCTCTACAGAGAACATGAAAACATAAGATGTGACCTCTCTGAGCACTGTTGTCTATTCTCATTTATGGTCGTATGCGACTCTTGCTGGGCCAGTAAAATAAAACATAAAGTGTGCCACGTTTTAAGTGGAATTTGACTGGAGGTGTACAAATTTTTTGCATATATTTGGAGTTCAAAATTAGCACGCTTCGCTTTGTTCTTCTGAAATTTCTGACTGTGTTTATAAGAAGTTTAAAGTCATTTAATTAAAACCTTTCTGAGTTTCCTGCAGTTGAAACGGCTATAAAAGATCTAAAAATAGAGAGAGAACATTGAAAAAAAAGGAAAAGAGGAGCAGGTTTTTAAGAGCCCGTGACAAATTATATAATTCACAGCAGCTTTTCCACAGCCACGTGTCAGACATGGAATTTATTTTATATTCATCCTCTTAAAAAGCCTTCATTGTTCTGGGCTCAAGATTAATTTGCAATTGCTGAGATGTCAGGAAATCGAACTAGAAAGTTAACTTGGCAGACGCGCTTCCCAGAACACTGAAGTCTGTGGTGAGGCGGCTCGAAAGGTCCTAGTCCAGGCCTTCATTTGAGGGAAATTGGAATTGGTAATGCAAAGCCTTTCTCGAACTTGAAAAGCAATCAGAGTGTTGAAGGGATGACGAGTCCGCGCTGAGTTCAGTTATGAATTGCTCTGTTGAGTTGTGCACTGCTGTGATGACACACAGATGAGTGTGGCGCACTCCGCAGTACAGCACGGAAATCGGCTTCCACCACTGCCCAGTGTGTGTGGGAGCGCTCTGTACACCAGAGAGCACCTACAGATCTATGTACAGTCGTATGCAAAAGTTTAAGCACCCCCGGTCAAATGACATTGGGTTGATTTTCTACTTGAAAACAAGTTAACAAATGCTTTATGGACACACGTGTAAATATGGCAGTATTTTGCACATTTTAGTGTGCTATTTTTAGTTATTTGAGTTTAACATATTGGGAAAAAACATAAAATATTAAATGTGCCATAACCTTCGCACTTATCACATTTTGTGTTTTTTCTTTCCCAATATATATATATATATATATATATATTAAAATTCAGCAAATAAACAGCAATCGTGCATTAAAACGTGTTCTCTGTGGAAGATGTGTAACTTATTTTCACTTAGAAAATCAACAAAACATGTAATTTGATTTATTGTATAAGTTCATTCCTAAATGCATCGTGAATAATATCACAAAGGGATTTCCTCTTTATATATGACTCACAGCTGAATTTATGTTCAATTTTGTATTATGAAATGACATGAAAAACTTAACACTTAATTGTAGTATACGGCTCATAAGGCTACATGCCACCTACTTAGGCTTGTCATGACAACTGACATAGACCCACATACATGTTTATAAATGCTTGTTCAAATGGGCGTAATTTGCTATAAATGTTACATTTGCCAATTTTGATCAAATTTCGCTAAAACAGCCTTTATGATATCTGATGCCTATTGGAATAGGCATTTATAAACATTTATGTAGGGTTCTGTCAGTTGTCATGACAAGCTTAAGTACGTGGCATGTAGCCTACAGTAAAGTGTTACCAAAACATCTAAGTAACAGCACATAGTGTTTTCAAGATTAAACAATAAAACAATGCGATTTCAATAAAATCAAAATGTGTTCAGTGAAATCCTTTCTAAAATAAACATTTCATTCAAAGGCAATTTCTGGTTATTAATAATATGCAAATATTTGCATATTTACATAGCTTCATTCGCATATCTAAACTTTTGTTTTTTTGGCAAAGCTTCCAATCAAAAAACAACTTTTAAGCATTAGTAATTACTGGCAAAGATTCATTGCGACATCTGTTTTAAACAATTACTCTATTCATGCAAAACTGCTTAACATGAGTGTGCTACTCTATAATAGAGATGAAACAATGGTGCTTCGACTTGATTCAACATTATTCAAATGCAGCAAGGGGCAGCACACGAATGAAACATATCACAGCAACTCTTACCAAAAGAAGTGAAAGACAGTAATGTGTTTTATTCATGTGTAACTGACTGTCACATCTACATTATGTAAACTCAAAGCTCCAGTGTCTTCAGTGTACTAAGACTCTCTTGGGGCTGTGATTTTATGTACTGGGGTCATTTCTGCCTCCCTGAGGAAGACCTGCTACAGTCTCAGGAAATAATAGGAAATAATTAGCATGGGTGGCAGCGCTGATAAAGATTAGTAGGGTCAGCTATGCTGCCCGTCAGGGGAAACGGGAAGCAGAGAGAGTGCTGAGAGCTGGACGTTGCCCAGGCACTTTACCAACATCTTCCAGACTGAGCGAGCTGGACAGAAAGTGCCATATTAGCTATTTACAATTACTTAATCTCATATTAGTGTTTGATTTTGGATTTTTCTGTTGGTCTAAAAACTGACCTGTTTTTCTGTCATTGTTGTTGTTTTTCTCTCATTTTCAAACAAGGGTCCCAAAAAGAGAGGAATGCCATCTAACAAACTGCAGTTCCTATGCTGATAGATGCTGGTTGTATTAAGCAGTTCCTCTGCAGTTCTATAAGTTACTCAGAATTTAAGTCATTTTTTGCCTGATACTTGTATTCAATTTCTTTTGCCAGGCTAGGCTCTTTTTGAGTCATTATTCACTTGACTGTGAGTTTACCTCTCTCACTTTTTTTTTAAATATTAGTATTTTGATATAGCAGTATTGCATAATACTTTTAATACTATTATGAATATTTGTAGATCAATTTGTGTTAGATATAAATGCTGAGTTGCTAATGACCCAAATGGTTGGAAAGGTACCCATTTAAGGGTTCATTCAAATTGCTTGTTAAACTGGAATTTCACCCATTTTCAAAAAAAAAAAAAAATCAGCAAAATAAAATCATTAAGATGTAAATAAAGACATTTAGAGTGGTCTGATGCGAAATGCTCCGTTCCAGACTAAACTCCTTAAACCTAGGGAGATTGTTCACAGTGGTGGTGAGAGGAACCAGAAGTCTGAACAGTTTAATGACTAAAAGCTCCCTCACAGAAAGTTACTACATGAAATGGTTATACTTTTGAACGTCTTAGATATTGTTTTGGTAGTTTTGAGACAAGCTTTTGGCCTAATGTACATACATTTTAATTCATTTATGGCAAACAGGTATATGCAGGGTGTTATAAGGCCAAAAACACCCCTATTTTTCACGTCTACCACTATTTTACCATCATCAACATTACACATAAAAACTCTGAAAACACATGTAGGCTCACTGGTGGTTTGGATCATAAATAAAATGGCTATATTTGAGTTGTTGACATGTGACCCCTGCTTCAATTCATCACCACTGTAAAGAGTCAGTAAGTTTCTCTCCAATGAACAATGCACTTGTTTGCATCTCTGATTATGTAAAATTATGTAGAAATTTAGAACAATTGGTGCAATTTCCTAATAATTAATTAATCTCGAACCAGATCTGCTCTCTTTTCCAGGAAAAAGAGATGTTTCCATGTTAGTGTCCAGTTTGTTTGTCTACAAACACCTCGACCTCAGTGGTCTGACTACCCGTTCTCATAATTGTTCTTATGTACAGTATAAGCAGTTCCCCGAAGCCCCTCCCACTCTTCCTCCAGCAGCAGACAGACAGTTGATGGAATGTGTGATATGGTGGCTGCCGTGGCTGACTCACCCTGAATCTCTCCTCCCAGGGCGTCTGCAGCAACTGGATCATCTCCAGAGGGCTGCCCAGCTCCGTGATGGCCGTCACAGTGTCCTTAATGTCGTTGCTGTCCTGGTAGCAGTAGCCATATAGCTGCAGGAAAGAAAGAGACAGCGTGAGAGAGAGAGAGAGAGAGAGAGACAGAGAGAAAGAGAGAGATATTAGACCATCAACCACTGTGCTCCAACTGGGTAGATAACAGCACTGTGTAGAATTTCACTGTTTTGACTCAGACGGGGTAGATTTGCGTGTGTTACTAAGGGCAGGCAAGGAAAGCGCAGTATCAGGTTAAAGATAAGAGTAAATCTACATGGCTTTAGAGTCAGCGCCTGTCCACCACTTTAACAAAAAAAAATAAAAATAACGTACAGTACTAGCCACTCGTCCAATGCATGGAATTCTAATTAGGAAATCTGATTGTATGGCTCTTAGTGAATGAAGTGCGTGGGTCTCTGGAAATATATCCAGATTCGCCAAGGGTCTCTTTCTCCCAATACTGCCGAGGCATGCTCACTGCTACATTTGGCGCTTTGCTTACAGAAACATTTTCTTAAGCTAATTTGAGCCAAAGAAGCTAGTTAAAATTAAACAGCATGAAATTTCATCTGAAAGGAAAACAACCTATGGCAGCGTGACCGGCTCATACCACCGCCAGAGTCTCCGGCAACAAAGGGGAAAAGCTGACCGCGTACATTAGCGGATCAGGCCCAAGGACGAGGCCATTCTTCTCTCTCCCTTTTATTTTTTTTTTGTTCACCTAAGCTGCAATCAAACCCTCCAAAGCCTATTAGAGCACAGAGTTCTCTATTACATTAGAACGCTTCTGAAGTGAAGGGCTGAAAACACTCTCCTTTGTACGTGTTTGCGTCCCACTTTATTTTAGGAGAGAACACACATGTAAATCTATACTCTTCCACAAGGCTGGCTAATCCATGATATTCCGCCTGCGGACGCGCTGACACCTGCAAACAGAATGTAAACATCTATTTCAGGAGTAATTCTTCTCTAAATGCGGATCGGTCACTCACACTTTCTAACAATGCCTGCCCTCGTTTGCAGTGGATACAATGGCACGGATGCTAAAAATGCCCAATGCCAAAGCCATGCATCCTAGCGTTGCTTAGTGAAGGCACACATGCTTTGGGAGGACATGGTAGCCACAGTTTGGGTGCGCCTGGGACATTTTTAGCATGAGGTAAAACGTTATAGATGACTCTGTCCATGCCAGCCATGTGGGCTTAGAGGAACTCTGGGCAGATGTTGACAAAGTGCCCTTGCAACAGCACCAAGCCCCCCGGCACTGAGAGAGAAAAATGAACACACATTTTTTTGGAAGCACGCACTTTTCCAGCAACGTTTCGAGTACTTTAATGTTAAGTACCGGCTGTTGATTTGACCAGTGTCATGGCGTACTACTGCCAGGTATGGGGGGCGGTGCTGTTATTCATCACACTAACACAGTGCCCCAGTCTCATACCGGACTCTGCTGCCTTGTCCTTCTCACACTGCGTCACTGTTGTTTTTTTATCTGTGATCATCCACATTCCAGCATATGAAATCAATGTTCTGTGTCTATAACCGTTAATTATGCAACTTCCTCCATTCCAATGATGCACACTAAAGCTATTTGAGCATTAATAGCTCTCCCTTATGGACAATCTTCAGCCTGATACCCTGTGAATGTGAGTTACAGTCCAGGTCCATGAGGTGCACACAATGAAAACACATGATAAAAACAGCTGGACAGTCAAGCATATCAACTTAAGAGATAAACAGCACAAGAACAACAGAACCTCATCATAATCAGTGCAGCATTCAACAAGACCACTAAAATATATGAGATCTCCAAAGTAGCACAATGGAAATCTAGCCAGTTGACATGCCTCTAGCAAAAGATCATAACAACCAGAAATACATAAAGTAATGAACATGCTAGACGGGTAATGTAAATATATGACAGCATACAATCACAAAATCTCACGTGGGAAAATTCACCAAAACTGGTCTTTGTCCTACTTTAACATGATTTCTGTCCATTTAATATTTAATTTTTCAACATGAGTTTTCTCAAATGGTTTAAAGCGTAAAACTAATAAAAACTGCCAACTCTATTAGGCAATGTTAAGCTAGCTATGTTTACTAAAGCTGGTGACTGAAGTTTTTCAAGAGGAGAAAACATGGCCAAACTTTTTAAAGCAAAGTTTAAATTCTGCCAGCAATCATTCGACTGGTCAAGGTCGTTTTCTCCAACTCCCTGAGCCAGGGTTTTTCTACGCTGCTGATTGGCTAACGTCCATGCATTGGATCTAATGGAGAGTTAGGAATCCACAAAGCAGACAGAGACCACTGCAACTGCTTCTAGCTGCTGTAAATATGATTTATAACCTGGAAAGAATGTTTTAAACCTCCAGACAGTTTTACAGACAGATATCAAAGCAAAACCGTAAGTATAAAAAAATATATTTTATATATATATATATTTAAATATCATATATTTCAATATGGTTATGTCTTTTTTTTGTTTTTTGGTAGGGTGGCACCCCAGTGCCCATAACGGATGAAATGCCCCAGATGTGGCTAACAGTTACTTTTAAATGCGGCAGTAAAATCACATCATCTCTAATACAGTCATATGCAAACACTTGGCCACGCTGATCAGATTGTTTTATTGATTTTCTAAGTGGAAATAAGTTAACACATCCTCTACAGAGAACACACTTTTAATGCACAATTACCATTTATTTGCTAAATTTAACATATTGGGATGAAAAATAGCACATAAAACATAGCCTGTATAAAAGTTACGGCACATTTCAAATTGTATGTATACAGTCTGATCAATGCATTACTGTGAGATGCAAGAAAGAAAACCTGATATGATATACAGTAAGAAAGAAAAAAGGGCTCGTTTTGAAGCTCAATCTGATCTCAGACCACCGCAGGCAGGCAAACGGGAGCGTTCCCAGACCAGGCCAGAGCTCAAAGGCTCTATCTGAGATTAGACCCTCACATTTGCCAGTTATCAGCCTGATTCATCTCAGCAGTGAGTGTGAGTGTGCGCATGTGTGTGTACATGTTTATTTGTTTGTCTTCAATCCACACGAGCGACCGTGTGGCTCAGTGTGTGTGGTAGACTCCTCGGCTGCAGCGAGCGCTCTGTAAGATAACACTCCTCTGCGTGAAGCAGTGCTCTTCGTCTGCTCAGCCACGCGGTGCCATTTCGTCTGACCCAGGTTCACAGGTCATCCTGCCTGTCCTGCCCAGAGTCGTTTACCACCAGATTCGCTGCATCTCGCCAGTCCCAGTCCTGCTCAGCCTGTATTCAACAGCACAAGCATTCCATGACCACAACTGTAAAAGCGCTGGCATTGCTTCAGCTGCACTTTGAGGAGAATGTAAGAAAATATTTTTCTAAAGCAGAGTTTTCTTTTTTTCAACACCGTAAATACATTATTCTCCACTCAGCTGCTAACAAATCACCAGGCTACGTCTCGGGTTCATGTAACGAGACAAACTGATGTACACTTTTTGTCCAGAAAGTCCTCTAACACAAACAAACACAGACTTCAGTCACAGGGACTAACTTAATCACTGCTGGAACAGTTAAGATGAAATTGAGCCCTAAAACAAAAGAAAACACAAAAACAACTGAGACCGCTTAGTTTTTATGGCCTGCATTGCAAATAAAATAAGATTCATGCATGCTTGTAATTACATATGTGTAGGACAATCGATAAACACATTAAGAAACTACATGGTGAGGTAAGTGTGAAAGTATTGGCTATTTTCAGGATGTTTTCCAAGCACAAAAGCAGCATTCTCCCTCCAGCAGTTCAGTCATTTCTGAGAAAGATGGGGGAAAGTGAGTGTGGACAGCTGGAGAAGAAAGAAAGCATGCACTCTTACAAAGGGCCCACATCATGGAAAACCAAATTTACCTCACTTTTTTGAAATAAAAGATTTTGATGCAGAATATAAACACTGCTAATGCTTCAAAACGTGTTCACTCCCCAGTCCAGTCCTCACAGCCCATATACAGAAATTAAGCTGTAAAAACAGCCTGTTTTGAATTCGCTATTTTTACGATGTCACAAAAACCAACGCATTTATAAATATCAAGCTATTTAACCCACAGCCGTTTAGCCCCGCCCATTCACACTGAAGTCATAAGGAGTGTTTCAGCCCTGCCTTTTGAAGCAGACACAATACAGGGAAGCCAGTCAAAACAGAGGTCATTTACATATATCAGTCTTAAAAGAACAGAAAACAGCCTGTTTAACGATAATGAAAGGTTGGAAAATGTAACAATTAATTATGGCTGCTTTTCGTATGTTTGATCACAATAAGTGAACCTCAAAAATGCAAGAAAAATAGAGGATTAGAGCTTTTAAGAACATACACTCTTAAATGTAAAGATGACATTGAAGAATCACTTTTGCTTCTCTAAAGAACCTTTCAATGGAAGGTTCTTTGGAGAACCATTTTTTGCTAATGAAATATGTTAGTTTGAAGAATGTTTTTAGAGTTTAAAGAACCTCCAGAAAATATACAGGTTCTAGAAAAAACCCTTAAACTGTTAATTGTTTTGAATGGTTTTTCATACTTATGAATCTCTATTTAAACATGGTTCCTTAGAGAGCCAAAAGTGGTTCTTTTATAGTACAAAGAACGCTTTGTGGCACTTTGTCTTTTAAGAGTATTCTAGAAATCTAGTACCTGCAGTGTTGTGCTTTATTTTCTTTTATAAATGATGTGCTTACAGTGTGCCATAATATATATATACTGTTTGGATGCTTTTGTTAATGTAGAGATTTTGGTCCCATAATCCTCTGAGACGTCTCTTTCCTGAAAGTGATGAGGAAAAACCCATGAATCATGGCAGGCGTCATGGCATCCCACGCATACAGTAACAGAGTGGGGGGTGAATTACGACACTTCCACAGTCCAGCCGGAATCAAGAATGTAGGATTTTCAGTCCTGAATATTTCTCCACAGTGCTCGGCCAAAAGGGTGGTCAGTGAGTTCAGGCCATTCTTGCGTATAATTAGCACAAATTAGGCTTCTGTTCATAACTCACATTTTACAGGCAAGAG